CTGAGTTGCAGAGAACCTGCCTCATCAGCTTGCTGCCTCATGGATGCTAGAAATCTAAACTCAGCTCTTCTTCCTTGGACCCGCAGTCCTTGGACCCATTGAGTCATCTTCATAGCTTTCAGTATGCTTTGCATGTCTTTTCTTAGTGAAGCAGTTATGACTTAGGTATGGTTCTCACTGAGGGCATTGCCATTATGGAAAAAGAATGTGTGAACTAAGCTTGGTGCATTAATGCCCATTTCCTCCATAAGATTCATGTGCTGGTCACCACTATAATGTTATATGGAAATGGGACCTTTTGGAGGTGGGGGGGATAATTGGAGTAGAAGTATTAGGAATGACAATGATGCCCAATAAAAGAGGAACTGAGAGCTCCCTTCCTCCTCTGAGAGAGGACACAGAAAGGAGATAGCCATCTATGAGGAAGGGCGCCTCTCAGACAGACATCAAATCTGCTGGTGCTTTGACCTTGAACTTAGCCCTCTCTTAAGACACTTTGCAGAGAGGAATGTTTACCTGCAGAGGTCATCCGGCTGCCATTTTTCATGTCTCCTTAGTTACCTTCCCTTTCCTGACTACATTTCATCCTTAGGTCCAGAAGACAGGAGGCTGGCTGTGCTCTGAAGACAGGGGAGCTGAGTCTGTCAGTCACTGGGCAGAGGATGTCCACTCACTAATTCAGGATTGAAACAGCCTTGCCCAGTATGATTTATAATACAAATCTCCCTTAAACATCGGAGTTACTCTAGGGTGGAATTTCTGGTCCTCAGGAGTAGAGCTAGTTAGCTAACTGATCCTTTGTCGTAGAGGCCTTTCTGTGGGATATTATCAGCATCCTTGGTCCATACACACACTAGATGACAAGAGCATTACATTTTGGTCATTACAAATGTCCCCCTACCTTGCCAAATGTCCCAATCTTCCAAGTGAAATGAACCATGGAAACACATAAAAATATTTTACTTCTAACTTTTCTGTGATGTCCCCCACTCAAATAAGTTGTTATCTGTTCTGGCAGTATTGGTCAGAACTTGTGCGCTTTGTACCTCCCAGGAGTTTGGCTGTTACACCAAACTGCTCTGCGGTGTCCACATTTATCAACTTAATGTTTTCTTTCAGCCACCACTTAGCTGGAAAGATGCCTAATGTGTATAGGACATGATAAATTTTCTTTTTCCTCACCTTTCCTTCCCTTCCTTGGTAAAGTCTTCAGATTCCTTTGGGTTTTATACCTAGTTATAACCAAGCAATTCTTGACCTTGAAAATTTGTGTTGATTGCCATTTTATGAATCCTGATGACCAAAGTCGACTATTCTTCTTTTCTTTATAGGGTTTGTTAATGTCCAATTCACTTAATCAATTGACTCTAGAGTCTCACTCAAGGATAGTTGAAGAATGTAAAAGAGTGTGTTCAGTTTGACCCCAACTTGTCTGCACATGCATGTGAGCACACTGGATGTAAGTGCAGTCTCTCTCTCTCTCTCTCTCTCTCTCTCTCTCTCTCTCTCTCTCTCTCTCCTCTCTCCTCTCTCCTCTCCCTCCCTCCCTCCCTCCCTCCCTCCCTCCCTCCCTCCCCCCCCCCTCTCTCTCTTCTCTCTCCTCTCTCTCCCTCCCTCCCCCTCTCTCTTCTTTCTCTCTCTTTCCCTCCCTCCCTCCCTCCCCCTCTCTCTCTTCTCTCTCCTCTCTCTCCCTCCCTCCCCCTCTCTCTTCTCTCTCTCTCTTTCCCTCCCTCCCTCTCTTCTCTTCTCTCTCTCTCTCTCTCTCTCTCTCTCTCTCTCTCTCACACACACACACATATATGAAAATACTCTGGAGAGATATGTTTCAAAGCTGATACTCAAGTGTCATTTGTAATGTTTCCTCCTTGTGCACATATGTATTTTCTCTTTTTTTGGACAATAAATGTTTAATGATTGTTAAATTTTAAAAAATTAAAAATGCTTTAGGAAGTCATTCTCAAGCTCTTGCAATATAATGCAAGACTTGGCACCTGTCTAAGGGTGTTAATAGCAACAAGAGTTTGGCTGAAATGGCATTTATTTTTAGAAGACACAAGGATGACTGAGTCACCCACCGTATTTTAGGGGGAAGGATGAAACAAGAAACCCCCAAGGAACAGGTGAAGATTTGCTAGACTGATTTCTGTCCTGTGCTCCAAGTTTTATGGGTCAAGATATCTGTATGTGTATGAGCTCAGATGGAACTTTCCTGAGCTCCCAGGGGGCCAAATTTAGCAGTGAGCTAAGGCTCTGAGCACAGAAAGCATCACCCTGCTGAGAATGGCTAGTGTATCCCGAGGCTGTGTGTATTTAAAAGCTGTCCAGTGAGTACTCTGTGTTCCTAGAGCATGTTGGGTTTGCTGGTCTCCAAGTGGCTTGAATACCAAACACTTCCCTGAAGCTCCATTGGCTGTTGAGCTAGCTCACAGAGCCTCGGTGAATCAGAACTCATAGTTACTGTGTAGTTTTAGAAGCCAGAGAGAGCTTTTCTCAGGAGATTCTTTAGTACCCTTTCTCAGCACATGTGCATAGTAAGATGCTGTTAGGAGGAGGTTGCCATGGCAATGTGTCTGTGAATGGTGAACAAGGAAGAGTGGATGGATAGAGACAGTTAATTCTGACTTCATCGTTTGATCAATGATGTGCTATCACCAAATCTGGGCGATACAGAAGGCAGCATGCGGGCTTGGGAAGGAGCTCCATCAGGCCCTGAATCCATCTTCTACCACATGCTACCCCACTGCACACATGACAAAGGAGCCTCTTGCACCTCCCACTTCCTCATCTGTAGAGTGGGCTCAACATAGACCTCATCTTAGTCTCACAATAAGGACACAGATCGCCGGTAAGAATGGCTTGGTGTGTAACAGCCACTTAACTTTCCTTTTCTCTTGGTCACTTTCCAGATCTGTGGCTGACAATGAGCACCCATCACAAATTTTCACAAACTGATTTCTGAGAAGAGACAGAGAGGAAGCATTTCAATAGTGGGAGAAGAGGGAAGCTGAGGGTGTCACACACGCATTTACACACCAAGAGAAAACAAACACATCTGCCAGTTTTCACTGACGAAAGCAAGAAAATGAACTTAAAAGTGACGTATAGTTTTCTTCTAATGCAAAATGGAAAAATAGGAATTTGGGGGGAGACTAACATTTCATTTAATTAAGGTTCAAAGTTAGAGATCCTATTATCAAATTGATGGCCACTGTTCTCTGTACAAACCCTTGTAGCTGGGAGGACATTCAATATCAGAAAGCAGACTGAATTTGTTCCACAAGCAAATAATGAATTTGTTCCCTGAGCAAATCCCTACTGTGGGACATTTTACTTCTAAGGCCAATCTCCACTCGTGCTCTGACCCTCATTATCAGTGAGGGGTACATGATTTGAAAATGTAATTGATACCCAAACAATCCTTAAAGTGCTACCATCTGGAGAGGAGGCTGAAATAATTCTTTAAATAAATGGACTCTGAGATGCTGTCAGAGTACTTAATCTTTTGTAACCAGATGATTCTCTTAATAATATCCTCCTTTGTAGCCAAAATCTGGAAAAGAGTGGGAAGAAATTATCAGGCCACACAAACTGACCACCTACAAAGAGAGATCAAGGAGTAAGCAGATATGAAAGCCGCAGCCACGTAAACAGATCCTCCCAGCTTTTAATCAAGTAAGGAAAGGACCTGCCTGTTTCCAGTGATGAAGCACTAAAGCAGGGCTTAACATTTGGTGCCTAAACATCAGCATCCCTTCCTGCTAGCCTTCCTGCTAGCCTCTTCCTGGACGGAGAGGTTCAGATGTACAGACTTAAGTGACTGACAGCACTCAGGCAGAAACGGGACTGCTAATTTCTGTGAGGTGTATTCTTCTCACAAGGGAGCGCATCTCAGTGGAGAGCTAGGGAGAATTAGAAATTACTCAGTGGAATAGAGGAGACCTGAGTTGAAGCAATAAGACTCATTTATTAAGTCTATCGCCTAACAGTTGTGGCTCATATCTAGGCCTTTGTGACACAGAAGAACCAATATGTTTGTAGTCTATGCACTCATTGGATTGATAGCAAGCTAAAATAAGAAATTATATTGGAACATATTTAGCATTGTAAATTTTAGGAAAATAGCAATATTTTTATATAGTAAATATTGATTAATGTTAGACAGAAATTAATAAGATGAACAGAATGAAGATTATTATGGTTCCATCTCATACATATCCAAGTGTTAATCAAAATCTTTGTTTCTCCAAAATGAGGAATACCTATTTTCAGCCCCAGTAGATGAGGAAGACCCAGCTCTCAACCTCTGTTCCTCAAAGCTAAAATGATTCACTATGATCATATGTACAGAGTAATCCATATGGAGGTACCCCATTCACTTAAATTTTCTTTGTATTGTTAATTATGTTAATTAAAAATGTTAAATTCCAAAAAAAAAAAGAAAGAAACAACCCATTTTTAAAAAAAGACTCATTTATGAACTGAGGTCCGGGAGAGGACCCTGTTTCTGACTATTGGACAGATATGGATGTGGGTTGAAATGTATGAATGAAGAAGGGACTGAGATGATATTAGAAAGAACCCAAGTCCCCGTGATAACTCTTTGTTATTTGTGTGACAGAAAGGATGATCCCTCTGCCGCAGTTTTGAAATTCACTCAGAGATCAGTGATGGTAAATTCTTCAGGAGAAGCATTTGAAAGTTCCAAGACAGGTGTTCATAACTTGAAATATTTGTAACTAACTTCTTGGAAAATAGCCAGGTTTGAGGCAAGGATCTTTTGAGATATGTCATTTTGGCTGAGGAGCAATATTTAAGTAAAGAGGATTTAGCCAGGGGACCTTGGTGGCACATTTTTTTAAATTCTCCTCTGAGTTGATGCGAACATGTATTTATCCATTCATGTGTCAAGGGACCATAGGCCAAATGTTTCCAGTTATTTTTTTAACTAATACCATGGAATAAGACACAGAGTTTATATAAATGCCAAAGAAAAGTAGAAGTACTTTCAAGCAAAATTTATTAGGTATCTACTCAAGAAAAACACAATGACCTTTGCTTTGTAAGAATTCAAAGTCAATGACCTGAAAGCCAGGTATGAATATTTTTTTTTCCCTTTTAAAATCAGATACAGAGAGTAGAAACAGCAAATTTTCTTAAATAGAACAGGCAGCAGAGTTGAAGATTTGTTTTCATAAATGGTGTGAAAAAGAAGTAGTCATTCATCAGCAAAGCTGCACGTGGCTGGCTGATTGCCAATCCCAAGTTTTCCTAATAGAAAGCTGGTCGTGAACTGGAGAGTAAAGTGAGCTTCTCAAAGGTGTTTTTGTCCCTACCCCCTTAGTGACGTTCCTCTGTTGCCAGTATCTACGTGCATTTCAAGTTGGATACAAAGATCTTTCCAATTCATAGAATTTTGTGTAGATGTTATCTTCCAGATTCGTACTAGCCTGTGATCTGTGAAGAGAGCCTCAAGGGAGACCTGCCGGAAGAGTTTAAGCTCAGTTTAAGTGCAGGATAAAGACCAAATTGTGAAATCCCCATTTTCTGAACAATAGTCTATACAAAAGAAAAGAACAAACATATATACAAAATGCTGGAGTCTACATGTTGTGTGAGATCAAGCATTGCCCACGGAGAAAAGCCATAAAAAGTTTTGTCTATAAGGTGCTAAAGATTTCAAAGACGAACAGGTCTTATGCAAATTCATTCGAAATACAAAGCTACTTCTCAGAGTATGCGGAACACAGGCACTGTGAATCCATTAAATCTTTCAGGTTTGGTATCATTTTGTGGAACTGTTTGGGGGCAGGAAACACAACCTGAATGATTTAACCATTATTTCTAAAATTGCCTCATTATTTCTAGGAAATATTTTACACACACCAGAAAAATCAGGCTCAACATATATATTCCTGTCTGCAAATGGAGTCAGGATTCTGGGTTTTATAGAAGAAAAATAATTATTGTAGTAAAAATAATTGTCCTTGCTAGACATAGATCATAGTCCTTGCTAAAGCCAGCCTTAACACTCAGGATGCTTCCGAGGTACTCTATAAAATAATGTGGGATTCTTTTACATGTCCATAAAATGTACAATATAGCATCTGATTTATGTCCTTATGTGTAAGTGTACACACGCAGTGAAACCCACCTATGGGTGTTACTTCATCTCTTTGCCTCTCTTACTAACACTGCTTTTTAAGTTTTAACAGATAAATAAAACACTAAGAGCTCATTGTTCATGATGCTGATGATTACATTTTAATATAAAACAGCAATGCAAATTTACAACACGATTTGTCCCGCAGTGTGGCTAAACCTTCATGATAGTCATGGTAGTGACCAACGGCTTCTTAATCACTCACTGTTTGCACTTCTAATAAGTACACAAAAACGGGCAGGATAAGACTCCTGGGTGAGAACTTAATGCAGCCAACAGAAATCACAGCCGTCCCAATTAACCTTCCTACTCGCTCTAGATTTTATAAATCACTGTGCATAAACAATATGTAAGAAGTGCAGGCAAACAATAGCTGAAGTATAGCTGTTATACAGTGCAAACCAGGGCACTAGGCAAACTCGTGAGAGGAAAACACACTGCCAAGCTGAGGGTGAAAATGCAAACCACAGCATTTCAGAAAACAGTCTGGTTCCTGAGCACAGAACACCTTCTAGAGAGGGGGGAAATACAGCCGTGATGAGACCAGCCAGTCTCCTAGAGAGTCTCTTTTCTTTCTTTCTTCCGTCTTTCTTTCTTTCTTTCTTTCTTTCTTTCTTTCTTTCTTTCTTTCTCTCTCCTCTTTTTTTCCTGCCTTAATTCTTCCACTCTTTTTAAGTACCATGACTTTCATTCTGATTCCATACACAGAGATTTTTAAAGTTCAGGGCAGAAAGCAGGAAACCGCATTGATGCGGGTGTAAGTTTTGCCACATTTCCCTATAAGCGCCCAGTCTCCCTAAGGCTCACAGCGGCAGTTGCTGCTGGTGATTTGGTGGTGGCAGGTGGAGATGGCAATGGCCTTGGGAAACCATAAGGCATGACAGCGGCAGGCCTGCTGGGATGTTCCAGGTGAGTTGTGCGGACGTGTGACTGAAAATGCGGAGTAAATGAGGAAGAAAGCGATTCACAGCCTCTTGACATAGTTTCCGGGAAAAGTCCCAAAGAATTTGGTTCTTCTCGAAGTTCCTGAAAACAGAAGCAACAAATGAACAGGTGTGTAACAGCAATGAAATGTCAGGTACTAGGTCTGCTTGAGGAATTGCCTTCTCTAAGGGTTCACCGAGAGAGCAAGCCCCTAAATAGTTTGGGAAGAAGCATAGGGAACTCACTTGAGGATAGGAAAAAGAGAAAGCAGGCAGGTTAATTGTCTTGCCTGATGTCATCATTGTTACATTTGTATAAGGGATCAACTTCTACCCCAGGGAGCTACGTGAGGAAGCCCAGCCTCCCAGTCTAGAGAGAAGACAACTGGGCAGGGAGCTGGGTGGCAGGACTCAGATCTGCACAATGCCAAACATGGACTAAGAGGTAACGGTGAGACTTGCAGTGGATGAGATGAGAGTACCAGGTGCACACAGAGTAGCAGGAGGCTTCCTCTGCAGTGCCACACGGCCCCCACACGGACATTGCCATTGTCACAAGTGTTATAATCTCACGCTTGTGCTACCTCACTCTCAAAGAAAGCACAGTTACACTTCTGAACAAAGTATAGACTTCTGAGCAATTTAAAAATCACTATATTTTTTTTTTTTCAAAGTAGAAGATTGGCTGATTCTCGCATGGGCATGTGGGCTGGGGTGCAGCCACTGAGAACGGCTTCTAACAAGGGCGTTTGAGTGCACACGTGGCTATTCTTATTGTCTCCTTTGTCTCAGATGCCACAGTTCCTTGGATAATTCCTATAAAGTCTATACTGTAAGTTCTTTTGTATTTTAGAATAGAAGGTTGGGTAGGGCCTCTAAAATTTCATTTCTCGTTTACATTCTATAATTCACTGGCTTGTCTACAACCGCTGGAAATCATATATTCCCTTCTTGTATATGGAGATTAAGGGAAATAATAGGATCTAAGGCATGTGTCTGCCCACGTGACCTCAGTTCTTTCCTTACCTCACCGCTGCTGGACTAGTCTAAAGAAAGATTCCATTCCCACATTTTTATTCTATGTGTATGGGGGTTTGCCTGGATGCCTGTCTGTGCTTGGCATGTACACAGTGCTTATAGAGGCCAGCACGGGTGTCAGATGCCCCTGGAGCTGGAGTCATGGACAGCTAATAGCCACCGTATGGGTGCTAAGAGTGGAACCCAGGTCATCCTAACTCTCCAGACTCTCCAGCTTCCCAGCCCCTTTCCTCGCCACAGACTCTCCAGCTTCCCAGCCCCTTTCCTCGTCATCCCTTCCTTTGTGTCCTGGTGGACACTTCTGTCTACCAGGATTTTCTTAGAAGATCTCATGTCGTCTCCTCCTCATCTCCTTGCTCTTCTGCTTCCTCTACCTCTCTCTCTGTTCTGGGCACCGGACAGTGGAGCAGTGGCGGATGTAAGCATGTACTCCATGGCTGAACTTCCAGTCTCTGAGATGGTAACCCTGGGCTTGCCTTTAAAGCGGCAACAAAGGTAGTTCTCGCATCTACTAACTGAAGCTCAGGAGGACCCCTAAACTTTTAGGACTGGCTATATCAGTCCTAGCAAATGGGTCAGCTTCCTTTTCCTCTCACTCCCCATCCAATAACATTCCCCCTATTGACAGCTAACATTTTCCACCAAACAGAGCAAAAATATTTCCCACATGGGAACATCTAGTGTTTTTGTAATTGTCATTATGACATCACAGCCATTGCTAATTGGTGCTATTTAAAGGAATTTTCCTAGTTGGGTTGAAAATTAAACTAGCAGAAAATCGCGTATCCCCACAGCAGTAATTGCTACACTTTATTAAAATGCAGTGACTTTGGGATGTATAGCACACCACGAATTCAAAGAGAGACTGACATTCGCAGTGGACTACAAAAGTGGGCAAATTTAAAACCAACAACAAAACAGTCAGACGTGTCCAGAGTGAATGACGGGACAGTCAGACGTGTCTAGAGTGAATGAGAGAACAGTCAGACATATCTAGAGTGAATGACGGAACAGTCAGACGTGTCTAGAGTGAATGAGAGAACAGTCAGACGTGTCTAGAGTGAATGAGAGAACAGTCAGACGTGTCTAGAGTGAATGACAGGACAGTCAGACATGTCTAGAGTGAATGATGGAACAGTCAGATGTGTCTAGAGTGAATGATGGAACAGTCAGACGTGTCTAGAGTGAATGACGGAACAGTCAGACGTGTCTAGAGTGAATGAGAGAACAGTCAGACGTGTCTAGAGTGAATGACAGGACAGTCAGGCATGTCTAGAGTGAATGATAGGATAGTTAGGCATGTCTAGAGTGAATGACGGAACAGTCAGACGTGCCCAGAGTGAATGATGGAACAGTCAGACGTGTCCAGAGTGAATGACGGAACAGTTAGACGTGTCCAGAATGAATGACGGAACAGTCAGACGTGTCTAGAGTGAATGACGGAACAGTCAGACGTGTCCAGAATGAGTGACAGAACAGTCAGATGTGTTCAGAGTGAATGACAGAACAGTCAGACGTGTCTGGAGTGAATGAGCACATACCCACGAACCATCCGTCATCACACTTCTCCATGACATCCACGACATCACTCTCTCTGAGCTCCAGCTCGTCTTCATTCCTAGGAGTATAGTTATACAGAGCCTGAAACCTTAAACAGGACAGATGGGCGTGTTTAATTTATTTCATATTGTCATCAAGTTATAGAAGTTAGTGTAACAGTCATTTCAGCTCTAACATGTCTATTTCTACATTCTAATATGCTATGTTAGGCATGTTCAGTCTCTGCTAAGCACGTAAAGCCAACAGAGACATGCAGAGTCTCATGGGGATCAGGCCACTTTAGTCATACTTCAAAATGTACTGTGAGAAATAGTTAGAAAAGATTATAATATTCACAAGTCGGGCAAAAGCATTTTGATATTTGCATTTCAATTGTCTAGACATATGATGTTTCCCATGCAGGTGCTACATAGCAATATAGAATAATATTGGTATAAATGGTATTTGTATTGTACAGCCCATTAAGAGGGGTCACAGAGTTAGCTAGCCATAACCAGAAATAAATAAGGAAGGCTCAGAAAAAGAATTCTCAAGTGGTTCTAAATTGAGTTGTGAAAAATGTTTCTGACACACATTTTGTTTAATTTAAAATTTTTTTTTTATTTTATTTATTTTGTTTGTATTTTGAGACAGGCTTTGGAGCCTGTCTTGGAACTCACTCTGTAGATCAGGCTGGCCTCGAACTCCCAGAGATCTGCCTGTCTCTGCCTCCTAAGAGCTAGGATTAAAGGCATGTACCACCATTTTGTAAATGATGTGGGAATTATTATAAATTGAAGACTATATGCTTATCACAGGAAATGCTTTAAAGAAGATTAGTTTTATAATCTGAATCAGGATGTGTGAAGACTTCATGCAATTCACCTATGACCTTAAATCATTGGTGAGGCTGTATGTGCGGGCATCCCTGACTTGGCTCAACTAATAGATCACGCTCTTTAAAAAAAGGTGCCTGGGAGAAACTGTGATTGAGCTAGAAAGAGTCTCCTTTCAAATAGCCATATGAGAGAAAAAATTCCGAACAGAACGCCACCATTTTGTTTTCCTTGTCTGAACTCTGATAGAGAGATGGTGACGTTGATCTATAATGTGTTTGAATACTGAATCCATTTGACATTGACTTTTGTGACTACTAAATTTTTTGACTATTAGAATGGACCAGCACTTGGGAAAGTAAAGACTGACATTTTACAGGCTAAGAAGGCTGGGTAGCATTGGGTATGCAGTTAGTGGGAAATTTTCATGATATCACTCATCTGTCATAGGATTAAAAGGACTGGTAAATTTGTTTTCATTGCTTTTTATAACATAATTGTGCAAATGTAAGAAAACAGTAACAGCATTCTGAGGCACTTTGGATTTATTTTGGGCCACCATTAAAAAGTAGGTGATACTGAATTCTACTTTGGAACAAGAATGCTTTATTCCTAATTACTTTATCAAGTCAGAAACATCATATTTTGGCAGAATATCCTGGTGCTTGAATCCAAACATTGTGCTCTAATTGTGCACTAACTTCACTGACTCCCTCTCTGCTCCTGAGTGTCTCCTGATCATGGGATACAGATAAAGGTGGCTGCTGCAAGGAGCTGTAGGTAAGAGCTTTGCCTTTCTGTAAAAACCATCACCTGCCCGAGCCTGGCACCCAGCCCGGAAATCCCCACATTAGAGATTCCTTCCCTAGTCAATAACGTTCCCTTCTAATAGGCCGTTTTAGCCATTTGTAGTCTTTGCGTCCTTTGCAGTTCTGAGGGTTTTTTGTTGGGAAAAGCTTCAGCTTCTGGTCACAGAGAGAAACTGAGGCAGACCCTAGATGTGGCAAGAAAGCCTGGCAGGGGCCACCTCCCTAGGATGTTTGCCTGGGGCCAGCCTTAGGAGAAGAGGAAAACCATTTTGTCGTTCATGTGTTATTTAGTGTCTGAGGCGGTTGGGAAGAGAATGATGGAATTTCGGATGTTCAGAAGGAAGGGGATTTCAGTAAGGCCCCTTGTCCATTCTTGAGCTTGAGGGACACGGTCATCCCTGGCTGCTATGATGATGGATGTAGTCTGCGCAGGCCCTTTGGGAAAGTAGGTTCTCTCTGAGCTTCTCAGCCTCTAGCCTTACTGAGGCCTATCTCCAACCACTGACAGGCCTACTTCAGGCCACAAACTCCAGCTGCTTGAAGACTCTGAGGGTCCCCAGAGCTAACAAACTAGAATTGGCATGGACTCCCAGCTCATTTTCATATAATGCAAGCCAAGTATGCTTGTCAGAATTTATTTACCATAGCGGTTTAATTAGATCACACTCAAAAAAAATATTTTTATGGAAATATAAAACAAACCTTCCTGGAAATCCTTCTACCTCTGCTGGTTTTCAAAATCAGTGTTGCATGACAGGAAATGCAGCTCAATTAGAATTTTTAAAAAAATGCTGCTCTAAAATATGTTGGTAATAATGGGGTCAGGATTGCCTCAAAAATAAATTTGTCACTTAAAAGTGCAGAGCCAAACTCCAAACTATAGCCTGCACCTTCTATTGTCCCTAAACTGAACTGTAGCAATGTGGCGTACCCTTTTGCTTCCCAAAGTATTTTTATAAATATATGCAATTAGCTAACTTTCCACAATCCCTCCAATCAAGGCAGCAATGAAACATAGATTTGATAAAGAATGACATCGAAAGCAAGGCTTGGAAGTGTATCATTCTTCCTGCCTGTGGGCTCTGTGATATTAGAAAAGCCCAATGAGCCCAGCTGCATGCGACACAACAAAGTATAGGAGCACAACTTGTTCCTAGGCCTCAAACGCTGTTTAACAGAACACACCAGCAATGTCATTGCCCTAGACGGCTCTGGAGAGTATTTTTTGTGATGTGATCCTATCACCATTTGCACACGTAAAAGAGCAACAGAGACATCATTACAAGTCACTCTTAAAGTTTTCCAATTAGGTGAGGTGTTTCAGTGATTGTTACTTCTAACCTAGTCTGTTTGGGATAAAGACGTCTTCAGAGGCACGCTTTCCTGGCCACACTGTGAGAGGCACTTTCAGAGAGTGATGTGTCCTGAAGGGCCTGTTTCTAACCTTGAAGAATAAGAAGGGACTCTTGGTGCATAAAACACCAGTCCCACACCAGGGCCTGCTCACAAAGAGCCTTTGGTCAGCATATCTCTCACCAAGTGAGCAGAGCTCGGGCAGAAGGCTTAGGTGCACAAGGAGAGGCTGAGGCAGGAGCCAATAGGAACTGGATAGCCTCAGAGTAACCCCTGTAAACTGGGCCAGAGAAAGACAAATGGTGCTCTTAAAGGCAATGCGTGATTCTTGCAGGTTGATTTCACATATGTGCCAGGAAGGAATCTTTGAAAGGGCATAGTCTTGGTGTGGTGGAAATGACATCATGTGTCTGAACAGCAGCAAGTGCTTTAATACTGCTATTTTCAAAAGACATTCTGAAGCATGGGTTATAATTTTGGAATTATACTGATAGAGATATGAAGAATTTGCATTGGTATGGATCTTGTTCTATTGATACAAATTTTAAGTCAATCTTGTTATATGTATATTTTTGTTCTTGATTAAGGTACTGTGACTGTATAGTTCATTAAAAAATACAGGTTAATAGATAGTTATCTATAATAGTCAAACTTGTAGTCGTGTTAGTTAGGTTTTCTAGGTGTACAGAAATGTATTTCAGATGGATAGATATTCTTCAAATCTTTCAAAGACTACAGAATATGGCATTTAAAATGTTTTAATAATGTAGAAATTTTCATAAAAATGAGACACATCTGTTCCTGGCAGCACCAATCTACTTCAAAAGGATGATGGGCACTGAAAAGGCTCCTCATGGAGTTTGTTAGCCATTTGGGCAAGAAACTGCTCTTGCCTGGACTTTTGATGTTATGCTGTACAAACTGGACATGCAGGACCCACATAAAAATGACTGCAGAAGCTGCCTAAAGAAGGTGAAACGATCCTTCAGGGTTCCTGCTTCATGAAAGACTCTTCCAGACATTCTGCAGGACACAGAAGAAAGTGACTAACAAACTGCTAATATAGGCATATTTGTCTTTGAAATTTCCTGCTTCATGGAAAAATATGCTGGATACTATGGGCCAGTAGGCTGAAAATGGGTGCCCGCAACATTACAGAAGAACTTTGGGTGACTGTCTAGGCAGGAAGATGTCTCTGTCAATTCTAGAGTTTTGGAAGTTGTTTCCAATGCACTTCCTATTTACTTAGGTAATGTTATATCCTTCTGGAGTCTTTGATGGAGTTCAAGAACAGATAGTTAAAGTTTTGCTTATTTATGATAAAAGATAAAGCAAATACAAATATTGTAACTGTAATCGTGCTTGATACCTGTTTTGTTGTATGTAATCTTGCTGTGTTAAAGTTAAAACCTTCTTTTTTATTTAGACAGAAAAGGGGAGGTGATGTAGGATTCCCCTCTGTATGCTATGAATACCATTGGTTAATAATGAAGGTGTTTTGGGCCTATAGACAGGGCAGAATAAAGCTAGGCAAGAAAACTAAACTGAATGCTGGGAGAAAGATGGCAGAGTTAGGGAGAAGCCATGTAGCCATAACTGGGGACAGATGCCTCCACTGGAGCCTGGTAAAACTTTGCCAGTAGGCCACGACCTAGTGGTGATGCACAGATTAATGGAGATGGGTTAGTTTAGGATATAATAGTTAGCCAGAACTATGCTTGAGCTATTGGCCAAACAGTTTTGCAAATAATATAGTTTCTAAGTGTTTATTATGAAACTGACCAGGACAGAAACCTCCACCAACACTATACTACTAAAGCAGAAGTTAGGTGTACTTTTGAAGTATTCAAATAGGTGAAAAAAACAACGTTAGGTCATGGTTTGCCTTTAAAGTTGTGGTTACCAGTTATACAGCAAGTAAGGAAGAGATGGATTTATAGATTGTAGGAGTCATCACAACGCTGGAAGATTTCTCTGTTGTTTATTAATTTTATGTATATAAGTGTTTTGCTTGCATGTATATATCTGCACCTGTGAGTGCCTGGTACTCATGGAGGCTAAGAGAAGCTGTTTGATCCCCTGCAACTTGAGTTACAAGTGTTTGTGAGACCCCATGTGGTTGCCAAGAATTGAACCTAGGTCCCCTAAAAGAGCAACCAGTGCTCTTAACCGCTGAGCCATCTCTCCAGTCCTCCTACTTTCATTCAAGGATTAGCCCAATCTCATTGATAAAGCAGAACAATGTCTCTTGTTCTGGACATCTCATGGTCACTGTTCGACCCCTTTCACTTACAAAGTCTATACTCTGTCTGTACGCCTGTCGTCCATCTCGTGGGCCAGGGTTAGTCTTTGATTTAGAAGACAGGAAGAATACTTACGGTTCCCCCTGACCTTGAATGTTGTCATGAGTGAACACAGAACGATGTGGCTGAAAGGAAAGGATTTTCAGCGTCATCAGGGTTTGAACAGGTATCACTAACAGGTAATTTGGGTAATAGCATGGCAACTGTCTTGACATTTAATATTTCCTGTTGTAAAAAACCAAGAGGAAGGAAAAACAATCCACCAAATTAAGGGTTTCGGTGTGCTTAATAATTAAAGTATTTTGAAGGGTGCTTTCAATCAGAATACCCAAGGTCCAAACTTTGGAAAACATCCACAATCTGGTCTCTCCAAGCTTTAAGGGAAAGTTGAGTCCCATTGATTTTTCCAAGGTCAGGAATATGGCAAGAACAAAGACATCAAATCACAGGAGCAGGGATGCTGGACCCCTTCATTCAACCTCACGCTCTAGCGCTCTCTCAGACAAGCAGAAGGAAGACACAGCTAGCAAAACCCACATTCACTCCGAGCTTTTCCTTCGCAGACGACATTGCCACATAGGTACAGATGGGAGAAAGTCAACAGCCAGACATCCCATGCTGCATTTGAGGTTCAATTCTCTGCTCTCAATGGGGTCAGGGTCAGGGCAGGGAAGCACATGCAGTTTTTCAAAAGGGAAGACAGAGAACTTCCAGAATAATGCAACAGACAATATCCAGGAAACATATAATGCTTTACCTTAGAAGAGAAATATTGGTAGAAATCCCCAGTGCACTGAACTCTCAAAAGAGTTTCCTTTCTTTTTAAACTAAGCATCAAGACCAGTATCTGTAATAGATACTTATAATATTGGAAATGACAAGCCTCAGCATCCTGTATAGCCACACAAACACTTCAGAGAATGAAACTTAGCACATTTGTTGGATACGGAAACTTAGTGCGATTTACATTGATCGTCTGCTGGTTATGTTTTCAGGAAATAGATGCATTGAACCCACTACATTTCAAACATTTTCTGCTAAATGATAGCTACCTGCTGAGATAACAAGTTTGATAATAACAGAATTTAGTTGCTATTATAGCCGTATCTTCAGACATCAGGACCAGAGCTTGGATACGCATAGTTATTACTGATTATCATAACCTAGAAAGATTTTCCCTGAAATTGTCCATAGAAACTTCTGATCCAAGGATGGGTAGGGAGCCCTGGAGATCCCTTCAGTATGAGTCTGTTGATCAGGCCCCTTCCTAAATTTATCTCCCATCTTCCAATCAATGTTATCTATTTAGTGCAGATTATGTATTTTCACTACGAAAACTTGAAGCTTTAAGTCTATTAATTGGTAGCATTTGTTAATAGCATCCCTAGAGTTTCTTTTCAACTGAGCATAGAATACATAAATCTAAATCTAAAGAGTGGATGAGAATTACTGACGTCATGAATGATTTACTCCTATAAATCGGTATAAAATTCCTACAGGATTTAAAATTGTAAAGTGATATTATTAAATATAAAATATTAAAAGTATAAATTATATTATTTTTAAGGATAATGAAGACGACGCTGGGTACATTGCCACACTTTTAATCTCAGTACTCTGGAGACAGAGGTAGGCAGATCTTAGTGAGTTCAAGTCCAGCCCACAAAGGTTACATAGGAAATGCCTGTCTAAAAAAAATAATAATGAAGACCAAACTGTCTTCTAAACACTTTTTTAGATCTTTAATTAAAGAAATCATTAATCAATTTAAATATACGAAGAATCAAGTGTAAGTCATCTATATGTATGTGTTACATTTCCAGCTCCATTCTAATTCCCTGTTAAGTTAAAAATTGAATACCACTTTCAATCAACCTGTTAGTTAACGTAATCTACATGTGAAGGTTATCGTCCATTGTTTAGCATTATCATTGGAACCGTACTTGCTCAGTACCTTTGAGTATCCAGCCTCCAAAATTATTTAAATGAATTGTTTCTTGGAGAGTTAGGAAAGTTGGGTGTAGCTCCGAGTGTGGCCAGGGGTCACTTAATTCCTGGGGGTGTGAGCCAGCAAATTCCTAGCTCTTAATCATCTTTCAGAATGCGCCTTTCCCCTTGCTTCACATCCTCCCAATCTTGCCCCCCCCCAATCATCAATTTCCCCATAGTATCCAGTTTCTCAGGCTAGAATATAATCCTTGATTTTATCACAGAGATGCTGTGGATCTCATAAAATCATGACTTTTGAAAACATTTAAAAGGTCTTCTTTAATAGAAACCATCCCTGGATGAGCTGATTACTAGAGGCCTGTTTCTCAGGAGAGTTGTGTAATTCCAGTATTGAGTTCATGTCTTTTACAAGGTCTCCGCCGCTAGAGGAATAGTGTGTTAATGGTCATTCATGAATGTGTACTTGCTGCTGTTTGAGGCACTGTCTGCTATCGACCTAGGACATTCAGCTCAGATTCCTCATCCTCCAATCGGTGAGACACAATGAAGATGAATCCTGCCCCGCCACAGAGCCCAGAAAGCAATAGATGTCTCACCTGATAGTTTTCCTTTGCCATGTAAAGATTCCTCTCCTCAATCTTATGCACAGAGCAGTCAGGAAATGAGCTAAATATTATGTATCTTAGTCATGTGAAAACCCACAGTGGCGACAACTCAACCTCACTCTGTGCACTGGTTAAACCCTAACCCAAAAGAGATTGGATGGTTTGCTATGGCAAATTCATGACAAAAAAAGGGATGGAAGGACAATATTAAGTAGCCCTGCGTTGAATGAGGTATTATGACAGACTAGATGGACTAACGTGGTTAAAGTCAGCATCTGTATTTTGTCTTTAGTACGGAGGTTTGTGTTCCTGTGGGTATTCAAGCAAAGTGCTTCCTCATGCTATCTTTGCTACTGAGTCTGCACTCTATTGCCCCCTAATGGTAAGCAGTGCTAGTGACACGTTAAAAGTTGTTTTTGCCTTTGGCTGTGGTGATTAATTGTGAAAAGATTTTCTGAAGCCTACGGGGTAATTTGAAGTAGATAACGATCTGTTTTTCCTACCATGCTGTTCCCTTTCCAGCACTCTCAATTCTCTAGAAGAAATGACTTGCTAGCTGCCAATGTTTTAGGAGACTGTCCATTTCTATTTTAACGGCTCAGGTGTTTCTGTAACTTCAGGCACGTCTAAGGTAAATATAGAACAATATGCACTTACAGCATTTGGAGAGGCTTACCCAGACTGTGGGTTTAAGAAGGCAACTTCCAAGTTAACAGTCGCCATTACCATACAAGACATTTTGAGCAAGAATATACTATGATTATCTTTCCTCGCTCTACAAGAGCTAGTTCCAGGACAGGCTCCAAAGCTACAGAGAAACCCTGTCTTGAAAAAACAAACAAAACCCCTGCCCCTTCCACAAATTTATCAGATGGGAATATGTTAAAAAAAAAAAAAAAAACCTCAGGGTGACGCAAGGCTTGTCAACTTATCCATGGGAACTTACGGATAAGATCCATCAATTTTTGTAAAACAAACTTACTCTTTGTCTGTCCCTGTCTGTTCCCTCTCTCCCCTTCATCCCCAAGTTTATGTGTTAGTTCTGGAAGGCTGTTCAGAGGAGACTTAAGGTTCTCTACAACAAACTGGCATTTCTGTCTCCCTATAGCAACACAAGTTCCTTCCCACAATATGTAAAGCAACACGTACAGAAGGCCTTACGTATAAAACACTATGTGCATTTATGTAACGGATAAAGGAACGCTAAAAATTCAGCCCAGAGAACTTGAAGTGCAGAGCAGAGGTGTATGGCAGGCCAGCCAAAGCTAAATCAGGGCTCATTAACTTAGACTTGCTGAAAGGAACCCTGAGGTATGCATCTGTGGAAATCCCCAAATTCCTTGGCTGCCTTCCCCAGAACTCGGGGTGCCATTTAGGATCTATCTGTTCTCAAGTTCTGCAGATATCACACAACTGAATAGTTAAACAGGAGGCAACTGACCTCAAAGTTCAGTCAAAGTTGCGAGGGAATTTGGAGCAGGCAGGCTCTAGAGAACAGCATTGCAGGGAGCGATGTGGCCAGAATGTGGCCTGCATCTCCCGGGCAACAGAATATTTGGGAATGGCTGACAGTTTAAAAGAAATTCATGGCAACCGAGAGACACTGGAGCTAACATGGCCGGGAGCAGGTGAGCTCAGGGGACAACAGGCAACGCTTTAGTTCTCTGCACTAAAAGCAAGGACTGACAGAGAGCAACTGAGTACAGAAAGGAGACAGATGTAGGAAACAATACACGCTGCGCCCTTGTTTGTGTGGCGAAGCATTTGAGAGTGCCATTTTGGGTTTGAGAAACTTGACACGTACCACAGGGGAACACACAACCCATAGCCCCTCAACTGCTGGCCATGACATCTCACGGGACTCCTCCCCAGCCTCACTTTATTGCCTGGTCACAGCAAAGTGACCCAAGGAAGGGCCAGGGTGGCCAGGATGGCTGCCGCAGGTGGGGGGTATCCGACCCTACCCTGTGGGAGCTGCTGACGGGTGAACTGCAGGACCTCTTAGACATCACTGGGCTACGAGGCGGCTTACCCAGGACAAATGTCTTGCTTTTTAAATCAGCCTAGAAAAGCCATAAGAAGTGGGTTAGTTCTCATCTTCAGGATGTGGCCTGTGGGAGGAACCTTCTTGGTTGGCTGTTTTCCATGCACACACAGCATGCCACGCTCATGAATACTAGCCGAGCAGGAAGGGTGAACAGTCTGCATAACGGCTCCATAGAGCTTCCATCCTCAGGGATCAGCCGCTACTCTGCTAGGAGACTCCCAGTGAAGAAAAGATGTGGAGAGGGAAGCTGGTAGGAGAACATGTTTGAATGTAATGTAGGTGGCTCAGAACACACATCGGAAATATTACCTCTTAAATCGGAAATATTACCTCCTTATTAAGAGAATACTTAATAACCGCATCTAAAACACTCTTCAGCTAGTCTGTTTTCTTCGCATTTACCAAGTGGCAAGCAGGAACAAACAAGGCAAGATAAGAGAAAATTTGACCTAATGCCTATCAGTTTTATGGACATCATTAGGCTTTTAAGAAGCAAAAAATGTTCTATCAAAGTTCCTATAAAGAAAGTGATATTTGGTGGGAGCTGGAGAGATGGCTCAGAGGTTAAGAGCATTGCCTGCTCTTCCAAAGGTTCTGAGTTCAATTCCCAACAACCACATGGTAGCTCCCAACCATCTGTAATGAGGTCTGTTGCCCTCTTCTGGCCTGCAGACATACACACAGACGGAATATTGTATACATAATAAAGAAAAATATTTCCCCAGCCTGGTCTACAAGAGCTAGTTCCAGGACAGGAACCAAAAGGTACGGAGAAACCCTGTCTAGAAAATTCCAAAAAAAAAAAAAAAAGTGATATTTGGGAGGAGTGGGGGGTGGGAGATGTGAGGTCGTGAAATATAGTCAAATACTGTGTATTGCCTGACTCCAGCTTCTTTTGGTGTTGTCTCAAAGCAAGATCTTCACTATGACAGTGAACAGGCGAATCTTCACATGAGTTAGCTTAATTTTTCTTTCCAGGGCAGTCCTAGCAATGGAGGGTCTAGATTTTTGACTAGACTTAAGAGAACGTTAGTAAGACTAAGAATACTTTCAAGTAAAAGATTGGGCTCTCACTTAGACTAAATTTCATGGTCATTAGTGGGCACACTCTGCAGTCTCTTGGGATGGCGTATGGCTGCCATGCTCGTCTAAGGCTGTGGAAGAAGGCATTGCTGCTCCCCAGTTTCCATTTCTGTTTATGTCTTTACTCATGCACATGGTCGTTGAGAGCAGACCACCGTTCCTAACCTCCCTTGTACCTAGATGTGCTCAGGTGACATTTCTGAAAGAGGAAACAGATTTTGAAACTATCCTGATTTCTAATATCTGTGGAATCAACCATGGTAACACGGGACGTGCTCTCTCTCTGTCTCTCTCCCTCTCCCCCTCTCTCTTTCTTTCTCTCATTCATGTGAGTTAAAGAATAGTTGACATGGGTTAATAAAAATGTTACTATAGTGATTTTAGGCATACTGTTCTATGCCTATTAAAATATTATTTTTTGTGTCAATGCTTTCTTTCCTTGTGATGAATATGGGATCTGAGACTAAATCACTTTGTTTTCATATTTATAGCTGTGTTCAGTCAGTTTATATTCTTCTCATGAGTATGAAATAGATTCCCAAGGTTTAGAAAACTCAGAGAGGGATTAATGTTCAACATTTATTCCAAAATATGAGATAATTCAAGAAACAAAAGTTTTCCTAAAATTAGTCATTTAATATAGATATTAAAATATTCTTTTAAAATAATGTTGTTGTGAATACTTCTAGTCTTCCATATTATTCTAGACACATTGATCCCAAAAGACTGTATGAAATGATCTTGGCTCTTATGATAGAGAAAAACCCCTTTATATTTTAGTTTTTCTCATTACTATAATGATGAGTTCAACATTTCTCTAAGTCGGAAAGGTAAGATTCTGGTCACAACCCCTTTGGGAGTTGCCTATTAGATGTCCTACATATCATATATTTATACTATGATATGTAACAGTAGCAAAATTACATTTATGAAGTAGCAACGAAATGGTTGGGGATCACCACAACATGAGGAACTGCATTAAAGGATCGCAGCATTAGGAAGGTTGAGAACCACTGCTCTAGAAGTACTTTCTCATGGGATGATTAAGCTTTATATTGGTTTTAAAAATAGAGCCACAGAGAGAGGGGTAAAAGGCACTTCTTTTTTTTAAGATTTATTTATTTATTATGTACACAGTATTCTCAATATTCTGCTTGCATGTATGCCTGCAGGACAGAAGAGGGCACCAGATCTCATTACAGATGGTTGTTCGCCACCACGTGGTTGCTGGAAATTAGGACCTTTGGAAGAGCAAGCTGTGCTCTTAACTGCTGAGCCATCTTTCCAGCCCTAAAAGGCACTTCTTACCTTAGACATGATCTAAAGTATAAAGTAGCATTATAGTTCTTAAAAGATTTTAATTATGCTTCCCTTGCTAAGATGAACACTCAGAGTGGAGAGAATCGGTCCTTACGGTACGCTCTTCTTTCCTCCTAAGATCTCTTTTCACACCTAGGATGACATCATAGATGGGCTGTATCATTGGATGGTGATGGGGATTCTGATGGCTACAGAGGATGATGGAGATCGGACTGGTGCTCACTGCTACTGAAATGTGGTTACATCCGAGCTTTAACCCCTTTCTTATCTACAGAGGCCCTTGTGTCCCTTTCAAAGGATGAAGTCTAAGGATGAGCTGTTGTTTGAAGTCTAATGGGAAAGATTTTGGGTTCCCTCTTACTTAGAATCAAAACTTTTCTGTGCGAGATTGATTTCATCTTGCTTGTTAGCATCACTTTCTAAGACCAATCACTCATTTCAAAGTGGTACCCTAGGGATAGTTAACTAGCTGGTCTGTGGGACTGAGCTGTATTAGAAATGGATGCTTTGTGGTCCACACCAAAGAGTCATCCTTGGTGTATCCTGTGGAAGAGCGGGGGTTCAGACAAGTAATGTCGAGGATCACCCTGTTCTTGGACTCTCTGAACATGCTGGTGGGTGAAATGGTGAGAAGTGACTACTGAGAAGTGACCGGAGTTGATAAGCACTGAGCCTATGTGTCTGAATGGGATGGCCCCCAAGCTGACTTGAAACTTAACACAGAATCTCAAGGTTACTTTTGATTAAGAAGTAAGTTTTAGGGTTTCCTTCTCAGTATGGGTGTAGTTGCTATGAGGCTTTGTCTCTTAAATTATGGGATGGAGGCCATGCTGATGATATTAAAAGTTAGCAGTCACAATTTGCATAACTTTTTAGACCTGTAAGATGTCATGAATCTAAAGGCAGACACCTACTGAACATCATGGAAAGGCATGCAATAAATTGAACCACACTCAAAATGCAGTTACCTTTGGTTCTGGTGAACTTATCTCCTGTTGATGAGGGTATTTGGGAAGGAGAGGAGGTGAGGAGGCCTGGGTGGGCTGAAAGCACTCACGGGCCAGAGAAGAGTGACACGGAGGGGAGGGAGACAGACAGCTGGGGAAAGGCGTGGCAGTTCCATCTTCCGAAGCAAATGAAGGTGGCTTAAATGTTGAGGAAAGACAAGATGTGATTATGACTGTGCTCAGATGAAGAGACCTGGTCCTCAGAGAGTACCTTTCTTGTCTAATAGCTGGAAAGGTCATAAAAATATCTCGGGGAAAGTGCTATTAGTGTATTCTTGCTTTGAAAGCACTGACTTAGCTTGTGGAATTTTAATTTCCGAATCTCAGTGGGTATGCTTTGGGTACTGTGGGTGGTTGGAGATAACAGCGTTCTTAGTCTTGTCTGAGAGGCCTTTCTTCCCCCCTTCAACATGACGGAAGTAAAGCTCCTAAGACTCTGCAATGACACCTAACTTGCCCTTCACGTTGGTTAAAGTAAGGTAAACAGTCACACAGCTAGGGAGTCGGAACCTCTTTGAGCATAGCGCGAGCTGTTTGCTGAGCTTACCTCAGTATGATGAACGCTATTTCTAGGATAGTATCTGAAATAGGCAGGTAGATCACTAGACAAACCTGTCTATCCGTCAGCTATCTCATCTCTAAAGTGGGGATAACCATACTTCTGGGTTTTGAAAACTAAAGATGTTGGGTTCTAAGAATAGCACCTGACACAAAAGTTAATGGTTAGCTATCATTATTAATATTAGAATATTAGAAAAATGATGAGCTTCACTATATAAAAGTTAAATTTATAGTGAGGAATAACGGGACAGTGGAATTGTACCATACAAATCCCCACCATTCTAATAAACTATGTCGTGTTTGCAGATTCCTTCCACCCTGGAGTTTCTAATGCTTCTATTCCTCATAAGAAAGCCTGCTAAGGCAGTGTTGGAAGTAAATATTTAGTAATGTCAATTACTCTTCTGGATTATTGTAAAACTGGTTAGTCCCAGTTATTAGGCCAAATTAAATACCTCACTACTGGTTTTTGCTGCCTTGAAGTCTTCTTTGGGGGTTCTAGGGTGTGTGCGAATGCCAAGTGAATATTTTAAGCGGTCGGGGTCCTCCTCTTCTTCCTCCTCCTTGATGTGCAGTGGCGGTGTTTCCTCTGCATTGTTGTGGTCATACCACGGGATAGCTTGCTCTTGAGCTCCCGGCAGCTCTCTTTGGTATGCGAGCCCCTCCCGGAGGTTCTCATCCTCCTCTCCAATGACAGGAAGAGTTATAGCCAAGGCACCCACATTGGTGCATGCAGAGGCCACAAATTTATCGCCTAGGACTTCAAGAATTTTGGTAGGGTCTGAAATGCTCCTTCTCTTTTTATTCAAATCTATGAATTTGCTTTGTGTGTCCATCCTGGAATTTTGAAGAGACACTGTATCATCAGGCTGGGCCCCAGCTGAGGTGATACTCGAGCGAGGAGAAGGTGAGAGACAGTGAGGTGATTTGACTGGTAGAGATGCTGGAGGTAGTGTGAGGGGGAGGCAAGAGGGCTCCTCCTTAATTTCAAGGATGACCTGGTCTGGGATGTTCAGTTTGGCCTGGTCAGATGGTAAGATTAAAGCGCTAAACTTCTCTAATTCAACCAAGAAGTTGTCGAGGACAGAGGATGGTGTTGGAGCCAATGGGATTGCTGGTGGACACCAGTCTGTCAGGGATAGCCACTCTTGGGCAGTTCCCTGTAGGTCTCCTTTCTCTGTGCTGGGCAGAGCATTAAATACAGGAAGACAGGTCTGTTCACTGGAAGCCAACTTATAAATGAGCAAGAATTAAGATGTAAAACAAACAAAGGAAACAAAAACACATGAAAATACAACAACAGAGAAATACAGGGAAGGTGTGGTGATAATATAATTCAGGCTGTAGCACAGACATAGATGGAAGATGCTTAGAGAATATCTAGATTGGGAAAAGTTATCTGAAATTTAAATGCATAAAATCATTTAGACTAATTGTAAACCTTACTTGAGCAATCGGACTCTATTCGTTTTGGAAGATATCCTAAGCATCAAAAGAGGAGATAGAGCTTCTTAGAGATCAAGAGGGCAGACAATGAAACCCCAAGAGGCTTTCTATTAATTTACCTCTCTGAATCTGCGTGGACTCTTATCTATATTTCAGATGTGTCTGGGGATTGTTACACAGAATAATATCAAACTTTGTTTTAATCCCCATATTTATTTACTATTCTCCCTCCCTGCGGAGGTGCCCACTCCTTTGAGTTTTTATAATCGCCCCATCTCCACGGCATAAAATATTTTAGATTAGTATACATGAACACATGTTTAAGGGAATAAGTGCTAAAAACATATTTCTTAATCAAAGAGCCCTGTGATCAGAATGAAACCAATCTTGCAAAACCCCTGCTTCAAAGTTAAAAAAAAAACAAACTCCAAAGTAAATGTTTACACAGAAGGGGACATGAGAGGATGGTGCAAAGTCATATTCGAAGCTTGATATTTTATGTAAACCCAAAGAATGTAATTTATAGATTGTCTGAAAACAAAATATCAAATTTCATTTGATAGTTCATGGAAGTTTTTCATACTGGTTAGAGTTCTATTTTACACTTCTTGTTACAAATACAAAAGTGCAAGATTTAATCTTCGCATTTAGATTTTGGAAATGGGTGAAACTGAAAGTAACTCAAGGTGGATATCTTCATTTTTTTCTCATGTGCCAGAAATATCATATTCACAAGAAATCTCTAAATTTCACCATCATCATTGCAATTGTAGTCTCTATTGCTATCTGCCACTACCGACTTTACTGCCACTCCCCCCATGTTGCCTCAATACATGTTAAAAGGCCAAAAGAGCCGACACTTTAAGATGGACTTGATAATACCAAAATTAAGTGTTAATTTTGATTAAGGAGTTCCTCTATCACAAAACATACTTATAACACAAAATTAAAGCTGTTTCATCTATTTAAAAAAGAATTTATTGTTTTAATTTCATGTGAATTGGAGTTTTGTTTGCAAATATGTCTGTGTGTCTGTGTGAGGGTGTCGGATCCCCTATAACAGGAATGACAGACAGTTGTGGGCTGCCATGTGGGTGCTGTGAGAACTGGGGTCTGCTGGAAGAGCAGCTAGTGCTCTTAACCAGTTATTTCATCTTAAAAAGGGATTAGAATTGGATTCTATTGTACCAAAATCAGAAATAAATAGCAGCTTATATTTGAGCTATCCTCAAAATAGAAATATGTCAAGCTTTGTAATTTGAATCACCGAGAGACTCAAAAGCCATCAACGCATTCCTACCTCTATTTGTAAGTATCAGTCAGAAAACAGGAGCTCTACCTGGTTGCTGCTTTTGTACCTCACTGTGTAAAAAGACCTATTTCTTTTCCTTTTATTTTTGACCAGGGCAACACTACAGGATTTTCCCTTATTAAGCCAATAACATCATAGGATAAATAACTGGTTGAGATGAAACTAAAATTTCTTTCGAATTATGGACTTAAACTTTGACATATTTTTTTTGGAACAATAAGACAATAATGATTGGTTATTAGCGAAACTAATGCACTCCTCTATTTACAATGTGGTATTACAACGAAAAACATAAATGGTATTTAAAACCTATTCAGAGCAAAGACCAGAAACACTGACTTAAAATATTAGCCTGCCATTGTTAATTAAAACATATGGGAGAAGTTCTTCATTGCTAAGTAAGCATTTGTGCTTTCCTCTTCTGTGTCAGCTTACTTAACGGTTAGATCCCTGGACAGTCATCTAATGGTTCTTTTAAGATAAATAGAGGGTAGGCAAAGCAGAGGTGGATGGATGATGACGATTCTGATTTTCCCCCTCATCAACAGAAACTACCGAAGGAAGGACGTTGCTCTCTAAATGTTCAGTTCTAGAAACCTCATAATCAAAGCGGTCTGTTTCTGCACAGCCTTGCCTTGATCTCAACTAAAACAGTTAACATTTTATATAACCAAATACATTGTTTTTCATGTTGGGAGGCATTTATTTGACAATATTTTGGAAATAGCTCACTGGTGACTTAAAAATTTTATAGTTTAAAATAACTGTAAAGGAGAAAGAGACCCTTAAACACACCCATAAAATACCTTATAATTCAACAGGAAAAGGAGGAAAAAAATCCTGTGAGTCAGGGAAGTAGGAGGATGCCTTAGTCTAATGAACCAGTTGAGGAGGGAAGGTCCTTTCTACACTCTACTGAGAAAGACAGTCATCTTCAGTTACCAGCTAAAGTGAATCAGGGGAAGAAGGGTCCTAAAATGAATGAAAAAAGAACTGTGGCTATTTCTAATAATCTATCATATTTTCATGTGATATTATAGGCCCAAAATTAAAATAATGTTTTATGCTATGTAGAAAATTCCTTAACACTTTCATAGATTATTGTAAACCTAATAATTATAATACACTTTAGGAGTAAGTGTGTGTGTGTGTGTGTGTGTGTGTGTGTGTGTAAAATGTATATACACCAAAATACAGACACTTATTCAAAAATGCTGATGCTCCTAACATTTCCTCTTTATGCACTAAAACTTGAAAATGGAATTAGCAAAAATGAACACCAAGCCTTTATCCCAGCATCTATTTGAGAAAAATTACATTTTCTCCTCTGGCACTCACGTATAGGAACACAATATATGAATTTGCTCCTTTTCGATAATATGATGATCGGATACCCCCAGATCACCCACTGATTCTCATGCTCCGAGTTCTGAACTGCAGCATTAACATTCTAGAAGGGCTTCTTACCTTGTTGGAGCTTAGGCTGTGGACTCTATCGCTAGAGTAGCTGTGGGGTATGGGAGGGTCAGGGTAGTCCTCGGCACCTTGTGCGTTCTTCTTGATGACTTCTACATAGGAAACAGGGAAGATGCCTTGCCTGTTGCTTCCCGGGATCTTGCCTTCATACCAGTTTTGATCAACTCTTTTAAGAAGAATAATCCTATCGCCCTGTAACAAGCATTGGGAAAATGTGTTATAAAGAGACACAGTAATAGGAAAAGCATAATTGTCATTGTTTTCTGATAAACAGTAGTTTTCTAGTTGGAAAAGTTTTATGCCTCCCATTTCTGCTTGATCAGGAGAATGCAAGAAAGGTTCTAGTGTTTATTAGAAAAGCCCAGATTGTCAGCATGGATGCAGATTAAATCGTCCATTGATGACATTATAGAGTCCTAAGGATGCTTAAAATCCTTAATCCATTCCGTTAATAGGAAGGGGCTGCTACATGCTACACACTGGCATAAAGTGAAATGGTTTGTGGAAGTTGCTCCAAGGCAGCTGGTGTGAGGAACGCCATCTCAATGACAGTAGTCTCATCTAATCTCTACCAGAAGGGACGTGATGGTCTGCAGGAAGAAGGGAGTGCTTCTGAAAAGGGTCATGGAAGCCATCCTCTGCAAGGCATACAGTTGAATGGCTCCCCGTTTTCCTTCTTTCATCTGCGTGTCCTGAGAGGTGACAGAGAGTGAGTGAAAAGCATGGGGCAAGAATGGCAATCTAGAATGTGCATAGCTGTGGAGTGGGCAGACGTCTCCCTGCTCTCATCAGGACAGTGTAACACCAGCATCCCTTCAGTTGGTGAGCGGCTGCGCCATTCTGGCCATTCCAATAGACTCTGATTTTTGCAACAGTAGGCACTTGGAATCACTGCTATGCTTCCTGCAATGGGCAGGCCAAGGGCAGATAACTTTAACTATTTACTCAAAACCACAGGAGGGTCACACCAAGGTTAGCAAGCCATTGCTAAAGAGCAAACCCAGTGGGCACAGCTCGGAGCTATGGAACTAGGGGAACTGGGTCTGATAGAGTCATGGAGGGGCCATCTATTCATTAGCTTCAGGGCAGCAGAGAGTTCTTTTCAGTGCCAGAGCCCTGAAGATCCTCTTCAACTCATTGTGCTGGATGGTTTGCAAAATGTGCCCCATTCACCCTGAGTGGAGCACACTGAAGAAAGATGAATTTCCCTCCATCTCAAAACTGCATCAATTTTCTAATGCGCTCAGAAGCAGCAGCTGATAGTTAAGACCTTCCTGGGGAATTTCACACGACGGCCTATCTTTACAGTGTGGACCACGAGACGGTACACCGTGTTCAGTTTTCTGTGTCAAGCGGTGCACAAGGAAGGTAAGAGAATGGCGGATGATGCAGAACTTGTAGCGGGAGGAGAAAACTCGACCATCTCCTGCAGACCTGAACCGTCCCGCCCTCACTGTACAAGACAAAATACTCGGATAGCTTGCTAGAGAGATTGGGAGCCATCACGAGGCTTGGAGAAGATTGATCAAGGAAATGGGATCGCACAGCTGGCTCCCCAAAGGCTTTTGGAGAGGACATATTTTCATTACTTTAGGACCATTCATTGATTCCAAGATAGAGAAAAATAAATACTGGCTACTTATTGAAAATTGACTAATGGGACAGCCTAAAGACAATTTGGAATGTTTTCTTCAAATTGTGTTCTCTATGTGTTCAAAAATGCGTTCTAAATAACTAAAATGCACTCTCCCCTTGGGGTTCCACATGTGTGCTTCTTAGTATCCAGTTGAGGCACCCCTTTGGGGGGGGGACTCAAGGTCTTGCTTCTTAGTCTAAGCCACAGACTCTGTCTCACAGGGACCCCACTCTGGAAGGGACACAGGGCCGAGAGGCAACAGTGATCCTGGGCCATCCTGACTCCCTTGAAGGAACTGAACAAAACCTAGAGTATTCTAGAAAATAAGGTAATCTGTCTTGGGTTCAGAACTGTACAGTCTGTGAGAACGCCCCAGTGAAGAACACAGCAGGGGTACCTTTCGCAGGGAGAGCTCCACGTTTGTGTCGGCATTGAAGTTGTATTTGGCTATGGCTTCTCCGATCTCTCCAGGCTGGATTGGGGGTGGTGGTCTGGCGGGCTGTGCTTTCTCTGGAGGAGTCAGTTTCTATAAAGGAGAACAGCTATTGGTTCTTAAACTTGTGATAACCTTTGGGACAGCATCCTGCCGGAGGTGAGGAGGAAAAGGGACGTACCTCTACATATGAGATTGGGAAAATGCCCACTCTCCCGTGGTGCTCCCCCTCGTACCAGTTCTGGTCAATTTTCCTAAGGATGTAGACAGTATCTCCTTTCTTAAACGATAGCTCCCTGTAAGAGACATGACCAATGGACTCTCTGGAGGAGTAACAGTTAGTCTTATGATTGACATTCCATATTTATCTGAGAAATACCCTGCCCACATGAAAACACCTGCCAAGCTCAGTTAGATGAGAGTTTTCCTTACACGTTTTAGAGGTCACTTATGTGATCTTGGAAGTGATTTTGAAGATCAAGTATATGGATCACATCTGTATAAACCACATCCTGCGAGGACATGAAATTTGAAAAAGGGGACAGATTATTGTGACCTTGCTAGTCTATAGTCATATATAATATTTATAACCTAACATTTTGGCTTGCACCAGGAGTATTTCTGAACACCAACTTAGTTTTTGAATATGTATGGAAATTATAAGCAATTAATTTTTTAAAATATAAATATAGTTATTTTCTATGGTTATTTTCTACTTAATATAGGCTTGCATTTAGAATTCTGGATATATTCAGCAAAGGGAGAGTTGCCTTATTACCCAGTTTTCCAAACTCTGTCCCTCTCATGTTAGGGATAGAGTCCTATTTTGATAAATTTGCTGTATTTTTATAGCACTTTGAAATACTGGCTATTTTGGACCTATGGGAAATGAGATGTTGTCTCTTCTCCCATCTAAAATGGAGACATTTTGTTGGGTGTGTTACTTAGCTTTAGTCTTAGAAGGATTAGTTTTGAGCTGTTAAAATAATAGAAATAGCTTTAAATCATATTTTTTTAAAACATAGGTATATAAGTGTGTGCCTTATTCATATTATGTACAAAAGCATTCATATCTTTTTTGGTCATTTAAAGAGGCTAAAACTGGCTTGATATGCAGTTTTCAGAAGTACATGGGTGTGTGAGCCTTGAAAGTGACACAACTTGCCCATTACCCTAATTTTTATGTTAAATATAGAACCACATTGGAGGTGACGGGTGCTCTCTTTATATCTTCTGAGAAAGAAACAAGAGGAGGCTCATTAAACTATAATAAGACCAAGCTATTTATAGGAAGAGCAGACCCACTTTCTTTTTGGGGCTTATCTGGATGGCTGGTGAATCTACTTTACCAAATGCTCACACAGTTAGATTTCGTGAGACAAAGCTCCTCATGCTCTCAGTGAAAGGTGGGATGGTGCAGATGGAAAAGTGCCAATGGCCTCCCTGCTCCATCCCCGCAGCAGTGTGGGGGAGCAAGATTCTCTGACTCTCCATCTAAGAACTACAGAAGAGGATGGGACCCTTGGGTAGGATGAGGGGCGTGGCCTGTGGGGCAATCGAAAGCTAGTGACCCAAGCATATTCTTGGCCCCTTCCTCTGGGATGTGTGTCATCTCCTCTTTGAAGCTTGTTTATATTGTATATTTATTTTACACTTACTTGTGTGCGCTGTGTGTGCAGGTATATGTGCACATATAAAACCATGTCTAGAGATCAGAGGACAACTTGTAGGTAATGATTCCTCCATTATAAGAAACTAAAGGATTAGGTTGTCAGGCTTGGTATAAAGAACTGTTATCCCCTGAGCCATCTCATTGACCCTGAATCTTGTGGGTGTTTTCACTTTTATTCCTGATTTTTTTCAAAATATGTTTTTTGAGAATTTTATACATTTATACGATGTGTTTTGATCAAATCAACCCCTACTCCTTGCGTTCTAACTTCTGTCACACTCCCTGCCTTCCCTCTCAACTTTCTGTTCTTCCTGAAACACATTCTGAGCCTTAGGCAGATGCCCATCTGGTGGCATATACATAGGAATAAATATGTCATAAAGAATAAACAAAATAAAAATCTTTTATATATTTTTTTCATACCGTCTTACAGAGCATCGCATCATGGTCTAAGGGCAGTCATTAGGACTGGAGTGCAGGAGAAACAAAAGGTTGTTATGTTGTAGTTCGTGTCTCAAATGCTTCTCAAAGGCCCCTTGTTACAGGCTTTACCCCCACCTAAGCAGTACTGTGAGACTCAGGAGGAAACTGAGGTGAAACCAAATGAGAGGTTTTCTGGGGATGGGGGGCGCGTGCTTTTGAAGGGGACATCCCCCTCTGATGTAGATCTCCTGTGTGATCAATACTAGTCTTCCTGATTTACCTGCCTTGTCTTTTGGATGAAGAAGTCCCCAAAGAAACAGCCCAAAAGAATACAACTCAGGACTATGATCACATTCACACTCAAGGACCACAGGACAGCATCAGGCCTTCCTTGGAAACTCTAAGCTTTGAGCATTGTGAGACTGAGCATTCACTACATGATCATCTGTGCGCAGGTTCCATGGACTGTTCTTGAGGCAGCTGAACTTGAAAATAAAGTATTGCGTCCTAGTTAGCAATTCTGAGGGAGCTAACTGACTAGACTGTATTATAGACTTGAGAGTTGGGTCTTATTTGGAATACATCCCACTGCTACACACATGCACTCGTGCGCGCGCGCGTGCACACACACACACGGCTGTACACACTCACGGATGCATACATACCTTTCTACAATAGTAAGAACGAAGCTCAAAGACATAGTGAGCTTTTATTGCACTTACTTAGATGTCTGAGCTTTGAAATCATAGACAGCTTTTGCAGGCAATTTCTGAAAGGAAAGGTTAACTTTTAGCACTAATTTAACAATTTTAGATTGCATTTTAAGAACAATAAAACACATATAATGTAAGTGACATGGTCAAGTTACAAATGTATCCGTTATTGCTCCCTTTAGACTACTGAGCGAAACTGGGATATAGGAAATTATTTCTTCATTAGGCTTCATTTCAGGAACTCAAGCGGATTAACGCCACAATATGATAAAATGCCTGTCAAGGACTCTGTCTTAGGTGTGTCATTTCTGAACAGATAATTTGTGGAGGACTAGTTGCTCTGACTGCCATGGATTGACACTAGTCTGTCTGAATAATAGTAAAACAGAAACCACAAAAGGAGTTATCATATTCTTCACTAAATACTGATGAGCCAAGAAGTAGTAGCCCACTTGTCAAGAGATTGGTTAGCCAAAAATAGAGGAATGGAGGGTGCAGGAATTTTGGGGCTTATCTTTCAGTTATGAAGGTATACTCATGCCTACCCTCAAACACTGGGGCTTACAGATCTACTCGAGGCACAATATACCAGGTAGCTAGTGATATCAGCTCTTCCCTCCCCACTAACAAGCAATCCCTTCACCCCATTTTTCTTCCCCTGTGATTTTAGTGAGCTTCAAGAAACTTGGGTAATTTATGGCTTCATAGGGGTTTAGGGGGCTAGGGGTCCCACAGGCTATCTCAGACACATGTCAGCTGGAGCTCAGTTTTTAATTTCCATTACCCTCATGGCTTCCACGGCAGTTAGGAAAAGGTGGCCCAGCTCTGGTTTAAGGTGATGGATCAGGAGTCAGAACATCTCAATGCTACAGGTACTTGGTGGTCTTCTCCCACAAAAGTACTTCTGTAGAAACTCCCCTCCATAAAGCAGGCTAATTAGAATTCTATTAGTTCATGGCTATTAGGCAGGATTCAGAAAGGCCTCCTTGCTCAAAGTACATCCCAAGTTGGGAAGGACTGGAGCCTAGACTGAGGATCTGAGCAGAGCTGCTTCTAGACTCTTCTTGTTGCTGTTAGGTTTCAGTCTGAATTCTTTACTGGTCTGAGGCACACAATTGGCTGGTAAGTGCTTTCTCGGAAGGTCCTTTAAGAACACCCCAATTCTGTTAAACTACCTCTTTTTCTGGAGTTCCTCTTCGTTCCCGTGATACACTTCTTCCCAGGTCAGTCAAAGTAGATGAGTAACTTCTAGGGGACTCATGGTCTGTTGGAAATGATAAAGTGAACTAGAATGAGATCTCATTTCGTTGAAAGGAGACTAGGTTGCCCCTTTTCCTTGGTGGTGATTATTTTACCCCCCAAATTTGGAGAGATGTCTCTAGTGAGAACATGGATGTAAAACTCATAATTCACTGTAAAGTAATGACATAAGACAAACATATACATTGAAAATGAAAAAAATACACAAAGAACAGAAGTATTATAATCATATATAAATTATTATTATTATACTGCCAATTAATTACACTGCAATCCTTGGTGTAGATGGTTCATAGCTGTAGGGACTTTTGTACTCCAAATTTATCATGCTTACTATTTCTATTCTTTTTGGTTCCAGTATATAACTATTATTATAAGATATATATATATAATATATATATATAAAATTTTAAAATAACACATTTATATGAACAAATGTTCTATCAAATACAGTTTAAGAAGTAATGATGAAATGGAAGATCAAGTGTGAGCATAACAGCATGATGGTCATATTCCCCACCCCTTTGTATGTGTGTGTGTGTGTGTGTGTGTGTTTCTGTTTGGAGATACCTATTGGGTTGGAAGACTTCCTATCCACTATGACTTTCCCTTATATATGAGTGTTAAGCTAATCAGAAAGTAAGTTATTTATTCCTTAAAATGAAATGATAACCAGAAAGCCTTCTATGAAGTTGCCAAATTGCTTATGAAATATTGAGGTCTTATTCACATTAAAGTAAAGTATAAATAATTACACTGGAAAATGATGACGGCAGATATAACTCTTAGTTTCTTAAGCCTGGCATAGTTGTGTGACTTGAACATGGGAATGTAACTGAAGATTGCCTATATTCTGGCAACATCACAGAATTTTACCTATATACCTGGGTCCAAGTTTAAAAACTATTCACTTTAACAAATTAATTTAATTATGTTAAATAGTATAATCATTAAGGTAAATTTTATTTATGTGCAGTATAATTTTTTCAGTGCTTCAAACTCACGTTTTGATAATGTACTATGCTTATTTCAGGATATCAGAAAATTGAAGAAGGTAGTTAAAAAATGGATGAAACCTGTTACAGTCTAAATGAAAACTGATTACAAATTTAACTAACTTATTGAACTTAAAATGTATCATTCTATTTATTAAATAAATTAAATTATTGTACTACTATGCTATTATTCTATTTCTCTAACTTTTTCATATTATATACATTTTTGTGTGTATGGGATTTTTGTCTGCATGTTGTCTGTGCACTATTTGTGTCCAGTGTCCTTGAAGGCCAGAAGAGGGCATTAGAAACCGTGGGACTGGAGTAATAGACAGGTGTGAGCTGCCGTGTGCACACTGGGACAGGAACCTAGGTGCTCTGGAAGAGGAAGGAGCAAGGGGCCCTAACTACTGAGCCATCTCTCCAGCCCCTCCTTATTCTTATTCTACATCATGCTGTACAGTAAAAATTAAAGTGAAGGCAAATGCTAATAAGTAAAAAAGCCCAGTAGTTATTAACAATTAATTTTTTGCCCTTAGAAATAATATTTTATATTACACATTTTTAGTTAATAGGGCTTTGAATTCTCTTGCCATTGCTGTAATCTGTGTAACACCGAGAAGTTTTATCCCCTTGGTTCCTCAGTTCCTCAATTGTATTTAAAATAATACCCACCATTGACTTATGGGAGTCTCAGTTAGATGATGTTTCTAGCTAAAGTTCTCTTTGTCTGTTTATCTATCTATCTATCTATCTATCTATCTATCTATCTATCTATCATCCATCTATCATCTATCTATCCATCTATCCATCTATCTATCTATCCATCTTGCATCTATCTATCCATCTAGCATCTATCTATCTATCATTCATTCATCTATCATCTATCTATCTATCTATCTATCTATCTATCTATCATTTATCTAATCTTCTACATAAGTTGAGTGGGGACAGATTTCTTTGAGTGAATAGCTACAATTGTTCTAACGTTAATATAGAAATCAAGAAAAAGGCTTTGAAGCTATTGATTTTGGTTCATCATGAACCAAAAGGTATCTTGGGGACACAGATATTGAGCTATAGTTTTGTCCTGATATATTCTTTTGAATTTAAGTGATTATTTCAGGTTATTAGATAACTGAAGAAACTGCCTATTTTATCAATTGGATTCTGACAGGTCTCTATCTGAACATCCTCATCTCCTGTTTGTGGAGTGCACTACACAGCATCAGTGCAAATAAACTCTAATGATGTGGAGCCGCAATGCAGTATTCCACTTGTCCTCCCAATGTCCTGCCTGTTTTAACCCTAATATTGAGGGACAAATTAGGGTTTCGTTTACTTTGAAGCGAGCAAATGCTTATGAATTGATGATTACATTCAGTCCACCCATGAACGTCAAACACCACACAGGCAAATGAGAACCACCGAGGCAGACGCATCTGCACAACACAGGTTTGCTCTGTAACATGTAATGACGTCACGCGGTCTCACGGCTCATGAGCGATGAGATGCAGGATGGGAAAAAAAAAAGTATGAACGAGTGGAAGGATGGTCGCTGAACCACAGGGGAAAAGAAAGGAAAGTTCATCCACCTCGGAAACTCAGCTCACTACCGTAATCTTGGGCATGGTAGCTGTTGTTGGTTGCGTCCACGTCTGGAAAAGAGGCACTGTGAGGCATCCTCCCACAGTCGTTTTGGTACACTGGACAATTAATAGCACCATCTTGAGGCAGTGGGTGGAAAGGCTGGTGCCCAGGGCTCCGTTTTAGAGCGTTAAGGGATGAATTCCTCTCCGGGATCTCTGGCAACAGCTCGCTGATAAGCCTATGCAGTATGCTGTTGTCCGGCAGGCTCCCCCTTCTTTTCTCAGCCTTGATTTGGTCGCAGATGTCCTTAAGGGCAGAGTCCAGAGCCTCTACTACGGAGGCATTACATTTTGCCTGTTCAGTCTGTTTTTTGGGAGTCAAATTCTTTTTCCTTCGGAAAGGCACGGGGCTGACGAGAAATGCGAGTTTAGACAGGCCGGGGTCCATTTCTTGCCTCCTGGGTGGGTCCGTGTTCTCATGCTTAGCTCGTTCATGCTTTAGCATTGTGGTAAACCGAGTGTAAGAGGCTGGACATCGGCCTTTGCAGGAGCTGATGAGGTGCCGGTGATGGTGGTGGTGATGGTGGTGGTGGTGATGGCTGGAACCGTAGAAGCTTTCGGAGGATGTGAAGGAGTAATGGTCGAAATCGCTTTCGCTGCAAAAGGATGACCCTTCGACGTGAATGTAGTCGCTGTGGTCAGACACCACTCCATCTTGGTCGCTGTCGGAAAACTCTATGTGAGCTCTGGGTTGCTCGTCGCTGGTGACTTCGATGTGGATGGGCACCAGGGTTTTAGACTTGCAGTTTCGCTGACCCTGAGAAGGCTGTCTACCCTGAGTTTCTTCTTCTAGCAGAGACTCAATAGAAAATCGTCTCTTGGGACACAGGCCGTTTTGTTGGGGTTCTAGGGTGATGGGAGACAACGTCTCATCCCCTAGATTGGGCATGGATTTGGACTTCTGTATCAGCTTTTCAAATTCCGAAATGCGGGTGGGTACCATGTCCCTGGGCACTTCCTCGGTGGAAGACTGGCTCCAACCATGGAGCAGCCCCCTATGCTGCTGTTCGTTTTCATACTGCAGTATCCTGGACTTTACGGAGCAAATTACCTCTGAATTCATCAAATCCTTGCGGTTGATGCGATGCATCTTCTTGTACATTTTGAGGAAGCCCGGGGCATTATGGGCTGACCTGTGTTTGATTCTGGATCTGCCATTAACACACACTTCCTGGATATAGGGGGAAGTCCACGCCATGGGGCAGCTCCCTTTGGAGTCTTCCTCGCATAACAGAGAACCCATACTTTCTGACTTGGCTTTAGGGTCTGGGAAGCTGTCGCAATCGTCATTCAGGAGATCATCACAGCTACGCGATTTGATTTTGGGGGACACGGTCTCTTCCGTGCTGCTCCAGATCTCCGCATTTTGCCGGGCCATTTGCCAGCCATTCTTGAAGGTGATGGCCCTTTGCGAGTCCGGGGGGACATCCAAATGCTGTCTATAAGCGCTACAGTACTCTAACTCACCAGAGGGGGCGCCATTGAGCCCCGAGTGACTGCAAAGGGATGAACACATTTTGCTATCGTCCCCACCTTTCAATCCAGAGCAGCATGGCAGAAGAGAGACATTTGGAGAAGTTAAAAGGTTCACAAAGAAAGGAGAGCTTGTCAGTATTAGCACAGCAAAGAGAAAGCAGTTAGTATGGCTTAATCTAGGCATCTTGACATACATAGCTTCAATGCCCCATGCTAAAAAAAAGACAATATTTTTCAGTGCAACTTTGCAGATACTACAGTAGACAAAACCACTCGTGAAATACACTTGGTGTAGCTAACACATTTCTACTGCACAGTTCAATGGCCTTTTGGCATGTCCAAACCACAACTCTTATCCTTTAAGCTTAACAATTTATGGATTGCAACCTCCCCCAAATTCTCCAAGAATTGATAATTCATTCAGTTGATATACAGCGCTTGGGAAAGGAACTGGATTTAACGCTCTATGGGTAAGAAAAATACTTAAATTTATCAGGATCCTTTTACGTTTCGAATTGTGTTTGAGAATGACGGATCCTTGGCATTTCATGACTGACTTGCTACTTAGGATATAGATTTGCTGTTTAGATGAGTAGAATATGATGAAGGCATGTTAGTTACTGAGGAAATTCCTTTCTGAGACTTTTCTAGGTCTTAGATGGCCCAGCTCTCATCCTAAACGGAGACCAGTCATCACAAACAGTCTACTGCACACCAGCTACAGCTTCACTTTAACCACCATATGGCAACTGTTTCAATGCATACAGTTTTTAGGAGTTCCTGACTCTCTTTGTTCACTCCTGGACACTTCTGTTATAACTAATTTTTTTAAGATCCTTTGCAAACCCATTCTCTTCTATGTCAACTCCCAAAGACTGGAGGAGATTGTGGGGCCCCAAATTTGTCATGCTACTGGGTCAATAGATTGTGGTTCAAAAGGAAAAGAAAAAGACCTAAGTAACCTACCAGAGACCCAAATGAGCAACTCTGTTCCTTCATTGCTTAGCTTACTACATTTCCAAAGAGGAGAAAGCCATATGAAAAAGTAGCCTTCCCTCTTTTCTTCCTTCCTTTCTTCTTTCCTTCCTTCCTTTCTCACTCCTTCCCTCCCTTCTTCTCCCCCTTCCTTGCATTTTCTTTCTCTCTTGTGTATGTACACATACAAGGAGAGGTCAGAAGGCAACTTGTGGGGGTCTGTTCTCTCCTTTTATTATATGAGTCGTGATGATCACACTTGGGTTGACAGACTTGGTGGCCAGTGCCTTTACCCACTGAGTCATCTCACTGCTAAATTTGGTATTTGTGGCTTCAAGCTAGTATGTACTTATTATAAACCATTGTTGACAACCATGTTACATGGTAGAATGTGATACTTTACCATACAAATAAAGGTTGAATAAAACAGGACAAATGACTAAAGGTATAACTTAAATTATTTTCTAATCCAGAATTTAAAGTACCCATTGCATGTTTTAAGCAATATTTTTCTGCTGCTATTTATAATTCTTATTCTACAAATTTAATTAGTTATCTATAATAACATTAGAAAATTTGCCTATGTAAAAGTATATAAATGGCTTTCTGTAAATATGAAAACAAATTATTTAATATTTTGGGTAAATTTATTATTAAAAATTTGGGTAATTTATTATTAAAATAGATTATTTATTTTTAATAATAAATATATTTTTGAGTCAGCAACAAGTCTGACTTCTTTAAGACACTCAAGTGGCTTGCCAGTTTGAATTGGATTGGGTAGGAGCAATGGCTTTGATGGGAAACTGTTTGCTGCAGGGACACTGTAAGTGAAGCCAGCATCAGAAGTCATGATCATGAGGCTGGCCCTCCCCCATACTGTGGGCTAAACTGTGAACTAGCAAGCTTTGCTTATTTATTGTGGCTCACCTTGGGCTCTTGAGGGAGAGGAAGGAGAAGAGCTAATGAAAGACTTCGTAAATGTGGAGCTTGATCCTGGGAGGTCTGCCCGGCTGGGGCTGGTCCTGCTCACACTCTGATCCCCCAGGCCTCTGGGTGGGCCCACTGCAGGTTCACTCTTCCTCCGCTTCCGAAAGTCCCCAGCCATGCTCGCGGAACTGACAGAGGGAACCAGTGTCATTTGAGGTTAACACATGCACATGCAAGGACACTGAGGATCACATTAGATAAAGGCACAACACCTAACCTTCCACCCACAGAGCTGCATAGTGGGAAATTCATGCCTCCATGTTCAAAAATACTTTCTGTAGATTCGTCTTTAAAAAAAATATCAATCATTTTAAAAGGGAGGTTTCAAGTTACAGAATATTTGACTGGACTGTGTAGGTTCTTTATATTCATAGGTTCAACCAACTGTACCCTGGAAATTTTAAGAAGTGGATTGCTACTGAACATGTATAAACTTGTGTTTGTATCCCACCCCCATGTGATCCACTATAATAACCACTTATTTAACCTTTACTCATTTTTACTTTATGTGTATGAGTGTTTTGCCTGAATATATGCCTATGTACCATTCTGAGTGCCTGGTACCCATGGAGGACAGAAGAGGATGTAGGATCCCCCGGAACTAAGTGTCAGGTGGGGGCTGGGAACTGACCATCATGGGATCTCTAAAGAGTAGCAATTGCTCTTATCCACTGAGCTCTTTCTATGGTTCCAATGGCCCATTTTAATAGCATTTGTGTTGCATGAGGTTTTATACATCTTTCAGAGTAATAGAAGGTCAGAAGTAGGTTATGGTAATTTCTCTGAGATAGAGTTTCTCTGTGTAGCCTCTGTCCCCCTCTCCTGGAACTCCCTCTATAGACAAGGCTGGCCGGTCTCACAGATTCACGGGCCTCCCCCTCCTGAGTACTGGGATTATAGGTGTGTCCCATCACTGCCTGGCGGTGTAAATATTAAGTCTCTTTTACCTTAAGGACTCTTTTTCTTTTTGCATACCCAATGTGTTTAGAAGAATCTTAGGCCAAAATTTTCAATGTTTTCTACTTAAATCACCAGAGATTAAAAATCTAGCCAGCAAGTAAACTGTTAAAATTGTAAATTTTTACACAATTGTAAAAATGTTGATGGTTTATAAAGAAAGAGAGGTTTTTTAAAATCAGCATTTTCAGTAGGGTATCATTTAAGAAAACATTTGTAGCCTGCTTGAGCTCTCTGCAGGGCCTCTACTCCCCGGGTGCTGCCTCTTTCTTCCTGGCCCACCCAGCTTCCGTCCAGAGCCCTCCCCACTTCGCCCCCACTGCCCTCTTTTGGCGCGTGGCATCGCCCAGCCCAGCCTATCTGGGTGCTGGGTCCGAGTACCCGGGGCTCCCGGGCGGGCAGCAGTTCCTTTGTTTCTGTGGCCTGCCTGCACCAAGCGGGGTAGGCGCTTTGTCTGCGAGCTGCCCAACCAGCACGGAGGCCTGATCTTTCGGCGCCAGGAGACCCAGCATTGGGGTGAGTTTCTGGCCCACAGCGCCAGCCTGGGATGGGGAGTTCGGGGGTTTCTTGGCCCCCTGTCCTGCTTGGGCTCTCTGCAGGGCCTCTACTCCCCGGGTGCTGCCTCTTTCTTCCTGGCCCACCCAGCTTCTGTCCAGAGCCCTCCCCACTTCGCCCCCACTGCCCTCTTTTGGCGCGTGGCATCGCCCAGCCCAGCCTATCTGGGCGCTGGGTCCGAGTACCCGGGGCTCCCGGGCGGGCAGCAGTTCCTTTGTTTCTGGGGCCTGCCTGCACCAAGCGGGGTAGGCGCTTTGTTTGCGAGCTGCCCAACCAGCACAGAGGCCTGATCTTTCGGCGCCAGGAGACCCAGCATTGGGGAGACCCAGCATTGGCAGAGCCAACATTGGGGAGAGACAGCGTTTGGTAGGCAAGGAGACCTGATCCGGTAAAAGAAGATCCATAGGGAGCATTTGGAAGAAGAGATGGGCCGACGTCAAGGCAAGAATTCGCCCAACAAGCTGAAAAGCAACATGAAGCTACCAGAAACAAGCGACCTCACAACGGGAGGACAAGAACCCCTTAATCAAGAGGAAGGAGAAAAGATTGACTTCATGAAAGTGATTGACACCCTTAAACAGCATGTAAAAAACGCCCTTATAGAAATGGATGAGAAATATAACAGAAAGTTTGAAGAATTGAATATATCAGTGAATGATACCCTAGAGAACCAAGGAAAAACAATCAAACAGATAATGGAAACAGTTCAAGGCCTGAAAACTGAAATGGAGGCAAAGAAGAAAACACAAACAGAGGGCCGGCTGGACATGGAAAATCTAGGTAAACGAATAGAGACTACAGAAACAAGCATAACCAGCAGAATACAAGAGATAGAAGAAAGACTCTCGGATTCTGAAGATACCATAGAGAAAATAAACACACTGATCAAAGAAAACAGCAAGTCCAACAAACTGTCATCACAAAACATTCAGGAAATATGGGACACAATAAAAAGACCAAACCTAAGAATAATAGGAGTAGAAGAAGGAGAAGAAGGGCAGCTCAATGGTCCAGAAAATATATTTAATAAAATTATAGAAGAAAACTTTCCCAACCTAACGAAAGATTTTCCTATGAAGGTGCAAGAAGCATACAGAACACCGAATAGGCTGGATCAAAAAAAAAAAAACATCCCCTCGCCATATAATTATCAAAACACAAAGCATACAGAATAAGGAAAGAATATTAAGAGCTGCAAAGGAAAAAGGCCAAATTACTTATAAAGGTAAACCTATCAGACTTACACCTGACTTCTCCATGGAAACCATGAAAGCCAGAAGGTCCTGGATAGATGTACTGCAGAAACTGAGAGACCATGGGTGCAAGCCCAGATTACTATACCCAGCCAAGCTTTCATTCACTATAAATGGAGAAAATAAAATTTTCCAGGATAAAAACAAATTTAAACAATACGCAGCCACAAATCCAGCCTTACAGAAAGTAATTGAAGGAAAATCACTAACCAAGGAGTCCAACAATGACCACAATAACTCAGACATCTAGAGACCCTTCACCAACACAAAACAAAGAAGGGAAACACACAAACTCTACGACTAAAAAAAAATGACCGGAGTTAACAACCACTGGTCATTAATATCACTTAATGTCAATGGACTCAACTCACCTATAAAAAGGCACAGGCTAAGAGATTGGATAAGAAAACAGGATCCAACATTCTGCTGTTTACAAGAAGCACACCTCAACCACAAAGACAGGCACCTACTCAGAGTAAAGGGCTGGGAAAAGGCCTATCAAGCAAATGGACCTAAGAAACAGGCAGGTGTGGCCATACTAATCTCTAACAAAGTTGACTTTAAACTTAAATCAATCAGAAGAGATGGAGAGGGGCATTTTATACTCATAACAGGAACAGTTCATCAGGATGAAGTCTCAATCCTGAACATCTATGCCCCTAATATAAAAGCACCCACGTACATAAAAGAAACATTGCTAAAATTCAAGGCAGCCATCAAACCGCACACACTAATAGTAGGAGACTTCAACACTCCTCTCTCACCAATGGACAGGTCAATCAGACAGAAACCTAACAGAGAAATAAGAGAATTAATGGAGGTAATGAATCAAATGGACTTAACAGACATCTATAGAACATTCCATCCAAATAGGAAAGAATATACCTTCTTCTCTGCAGCTCATGGAACCTTCTCGAAAATCGACCATATAGTCGGTAACAAAGCAAACATCCACAGTTACAAAAAAATATTAGTAACCACCTGTGTCTTATCAGATCACCATTGATTAAAGTTAGAATTCAACAATAATGCTACCCCCAGAAAGCATACAAAGTCATGGAAACTGAACAGTCAACTATTGAACCATATCTGGATTAAGGAAGAAATAAAGAAAGAAATTAAAGTCTTCCTGGAATTCAATGAAAATAAAGAAACAGGCACAGAGGCGGAGCGGCGGTGGCCAGACGCACAGAGGCGGAGCGGCAGCGGCCAGACGCGGCGGAGCGGCGGCGGCCAGACGTGGCGGAGCGGCGGCGGCCAGACGCGGTGGAGCAACACCGCATACAGGAAGAGGCTTTCGGGGACCAGCGCAGAGGCAGACCCAAGCGGCGGGAACAGGCGTGCAATAAGGAGAGCAGATCGCCCTACTACAATCGAATCAAAGAGGTAGGCCTTTGGTTGGCCAGGTCACTGGCACAAGGGGAGCCTGGTCCTGTCCTGAAGATCCTTCAGAGGGGTGAGAGGGTTCTTGGCCTGCAGCAGGAACCACGAAAGAGAGTGAGGGCATTTTGTAAGCGGAGCCCTTGGCCAGCAGGGAAACCTGATCCGGTTTTTAAAGGACCTATTGGATAGGATCAATAGGAGGAGATGGGCAGGCGCCAAGGCAAGAATTCTCCCAATAATCTGAAAAACAACATGAAAACATCAGAACCCAATGATCTTACAACAGAAGTATTTGAACAACCTAACACAGAAGAAATGGAAAAAATCGACTTTATGAAGATAATAGAGTCCCTTAAACAACATGTAAAAAATGCCCTTATAGAAATGGATGAGAAGTATAACAAAAAGTTTGAAGAAATGAGTAAATACGTACATGATACCCTGGGAAACCAAGAAAAAACCATCAAACAGGTAGTGGAAACAGTTCAAGAATTGAAAACTGAAATGAAGGCAAAGAAGAAAATACAAACTGAGGACCAGCTGGATATGGAAAATCTAGGCCAACGAGCAGAGTCTACAGAAACAAGCATAATCAATAGAATACAAGAGCTAGAAGAAAGACTCTCAGATGCTGAGGACACCATAGAGAAAATAAACGAACAGATCAAAGAAAACAGCAAAGCCAACAAATTCTCAACACAAAACATTCAGGAACTATGGGACACAATAAAAAAACCAAACCTAAGAATAATAGGAATAGAAGAAGGAGAAGAGTCACAGCTCAAAGGCTCAGAAAATATTTTCAACAAAATTATGGAAGAAAACTTTCCCAACTTAAAGAAAGATATTCACTTAAATATTCAAGAAGCATACAGAACACCAAACAGACTGGATCAAAGAAAAACATCTCCTCGCCATATAATAATCAAAACACAAAATATACAGGTTAAAGAAAAAATATTAAGAGCTGCAAAAGAAAA